CACTAAAAGGAGAATTTACAGGGCCTTTTTGTCCTGCAAAATCTTGCCTGTGTCTTTGCTACATGCTTGGTGTCTTTTCTTGAAAAACAAAACCAAGGAAGACACAAAAGGAATAAGTGCAGTATCAGAGAATTTGTGTTAACCTGCTGACATAGGGCCTGTAATCTCATTGGTTAGGCACTGGCAAAGTCAAATTTATGCACATAAATCATTTATTAACAGAAACTTACAAGAGGGCTATATATTTAGCTTTGAGTGGGAGGTTTAAGAAGTCTGCACAAAGAACGATCCTCAGTCTGATCCTTGAAGTATGAAATGGCTAGAGATGGAAAGGAGGGAAGGCATATCCCAGTCAGAGAACACAGCATGGGCAAAGGCATGGGGCAGGAAAGGGTCTGGTGTGTTCATGGACCCACACACTTCTGTGTGACTGGAGCCTAAAGACAAAGCAGGAGAAAGGCTAGGAAGGTCTGATGGGTCAAATTGCTCAGGGGCCTGGTCCTATAGCAAAATTTTTTCGGTAGCAAAATAAAGTGATAAGGCCAGTGTTTTATTTTTTATTCATTTATTTAAAAATTTTTAAATGTTTATTTATCTATTTTTAATGTTTTTATTTATTTCTGAGAGAGAGAGAGAGAAAGAGAGAGACAGCGTGAGCAGGGGAGGGTCAGAGAGAGAGGGAGACACAGAATTTGAAACAGGCTCCAGGCTCTGAGCTGGCTGTCAGCACAAAGCCTAACGCGGGGCCCGAACCCACAAACCTTGAGATCACGACCTGAGCTGAAGTTGGACGCCCAACCGACTGAGCCACCCAGGGGCCCCAATGTTTATTTATTTTTGAGAGGGAGAGAGAGACACAGAGACAGAGACAGAGAGAGAGACAGAGAACAAGCAGGGGAGGAGCAGAGAGAGAGGGAGACACAGAATTTGAAGCAGGCTCCAGGCTCGAGCTGTCAGCACAGAGCCTGAGGTGGAACTTGAACTCATGGACAGCGAAATCATGACCTGAGCCAAAGTTGGACGCTTAACCGACTGAGCCACCCAGGCACCCCAAAGCCAATGTTTTAGAAAGATTGATCATTATGGGGTAAGAGCCCAGGTAATAGTGATAAAAGAATGAGTGATAAGGAATGACCTGGGAGAGTGGGCCCCAGGAGGGAGGCTGTGCTGAGAGCTGGGCAGCGCGAGGGGACATGGTTGAGTTGCACTTGACAAGACCTAGTGACTTTTTTTTTTAAATTTTTTTTAATGTTTTATTTATTTCTAGGAGAGAGAGAGAGAGAGACAGCGTGAGCAGGGGAGGGTCAGAGAGAGAGGGAGTCACAGACTCTGAAACAGGCTCCAGGCTCTGAGCTGGCAGTCAGCACAGAGCCCGATGTGGGGCCCGAACCCACGAACCGCGAGATCATGACCTAAGTGAAAGTCGGACGCTCAACCGACTAAGCCACCCAGGCGCCCCTAGACCTAGTGACTTTTAGATGTAGAGGCTCTAGAGTCAAGAATGCATGTTTTCTTCCTTGGGGAGCTGTGGATGGTTCTGCACACAGCCCCTGGACCTGACAGGCCACGAGTGGCGTCCTGGTTTCAGTATTAACTTGGACGAGCTACCCAGACTTTCTGTGACTCAGTTTCTTCCTTTGTAAAATGGAGGAGGGTTGCATCCACTTCAGGGAGTAGATGAGTTTCAGTGTTTCTTGTGGGCTTTAAATGAGTTAGTACACATGGGGCGCCTGGGTGGCTCAGTCAGTTGAACGTCCGACTTCGGCTCAGGTCATGATCTCGCGGTTCATGGGTTCGAGCCCCGTGTGGGGCTCTGTGCTGATAGCTCAGAGCCTGGAGCCTGCTTCGGATTCTGTGTCTCCCTCTCTCTCTGCCCCTCCCCCACTTGCACTCTGTGTGTGTGTGTGTGTGTGTGTGTGTGTGTGTGTGTGTCTTTCTCAAAAATAAATAAACATTAAAAAATATTTTTTAAAATTAAAAAAATGAGTTAGTACACATAAGACATTAGGGTGGGGAATGGTATATAGTAAAGACTAATCAGTGTTAGCCATTATGATTATATCAGGTCATGAAAGTTTAAAGGTACACAGCTTGTTTTCTTTAAATAATTTTTAAAAATTTATAAATGTTTTTGTTTATTTTGAGAGAGAGAGCAGGGGAGGGGCAGAGAGAGAGGAAGAGAGAGAGAATCCCAAGCAGGCCCTGAACATCAGTGCAGAGCCTGACATGGGGCTCACACTCACAAACTGTGAGATCATGATCTGAGCTGAAATCAAGAGTCAATCACTTAACTGACTGAGCCACCCAGGAGCCCTGGGACCAACTGTTTTTAAACTGTTAAATAGTGTCGCACAACTTGTAAATTCTTCCTTCTTTCTCTGTTTCTGTTATTCCTCTGATACTAATAGTAGAAATTCGCACTCTATTTCTCTTGTTTTGTAACAAGTCAGCAGAAGTGCTTATGCCCACAATCCCTTGTTTGCTATGAAACCAGTCCTGCTCAAAATGCAGACAGAGAGCTCTATGCAATATCCTTTAATGGGTGTTCCCAATAGAAGGTGTGAGTGGTCATCCAGACAATAGATTAACATATGAACACATTTACTTGGTAACTTTAAAATACATTTATATGTATACAGTCATTCAACAAATATTTGTTGTCCCCTATGAAGTGTCAGGCAAAGTGCCGGGTGTTGGGAGTCCAGAGCTGGGTATAGGAAGACAGCATGGTAGAGAGCAAGTACGTGGCCCTTGATGACAAGAAGTCTTGAGTTCAAGTCCTGTGTTCTGAAGCTGACTGATTTTGCTAAGGTATTTATTTATTCCCTGTGTCTTAACGGAGACTAGAAGAACTAACTTCTAATGTTTATTATTTTTGAGAGAGAGAAAGACAGAATCTGAAGCAGGCTCCAGGCTCTGACGCAGGACTCCAACTCATGAACCGAGAGATCATGACCTGAGCCAAAGTCGGACGCTTAACTGACTGAGCCACCCAGGCGCCCCTAGAAGAACTAATGTCTACTTTACAGGGTTCTTGTAGGTTTTGACGATAAAGCATCTAGTGTTGCAGTTGGTACACAAGGTAAGCCCTTAATGAACTGTCCCAGTCTCTGGCCCTCAGGAATTCTCCGTTTGCATGATTATTATTCAGACCAGCCCCTGTTCTGTCTCAGGCTAGGGACCCGGGGACGGAGGGCAGCGTGGTAAGTGAAATGAGAGAAGGAACAAGCAGTGATGTAGCAGGACTGAGAGTTAAAAGTTCGGCACACAACGCTAATTTAGCACAATATCAGCTACATTTGTGGGGCAAGGACCCCGGTGTACAGATTTAGCATCTGATGGAGGTGTCGAGCCGATAAGAACAGTTTGCAGGCACATTCTTACAGTGCAGCCTCATTTAATCCCTACATCAACCCTATGTGGTAAGAGCTGTTATTATGCTCATTTTACAGGTGGGGAAACTGAGGCACAGAGAGGTGAACCTAACTCGCCTGACGTCTCAGGACTAAGAAAGCAGGGTCCAGATGCAGGTGCTCCAGCATCGAAGCCTGCATTTTGGGACCACTCAGCACCCTCCTCCCTTTGTCTCCTTCTTCAAACTTCATTTTACAGCCAGTAGAGACTGTCCCTAATGATTCTGGGAAAAAAACAAAAAACAAAAGCTCAAATCGAGGAAAATTCAGAGAAAATTCAAGCAGAAGAAAAGTAATGCATCTGGAAGAAAATATGGCTCAGCCATTTCTTTTCTCCAGGGCGAATTTGAAAAATGACAGGCTAGTCAGTCTCCTTCTTTCCTTTGCCCATTTTCCAAAGCGGCCCAGTCAAGCTCTTCTCGTGTGGGTTGTGTAGTTTAGAGCATTCTATGGCTTTTTTAAAAACATCACATTTTAAATCAGCTTCACTTCCTTTTTCTGAGAGGCATTCCTTGCATTGTTTTCTCTCTTTTCTCTGCTGAAAAGGCCTACGTGGACCTACAAGCCCCCGGGATGTGTGGCCTTACCTGCTCTTGCCACTAGGGGGCCCTGCCGCTGAGATTTCAATTTGTTTTTCAATATCTTTTTGAGAGAGAGAGAGAGAGCAGAGGAGGGGCAGAGAGGGAGGGTGACAGAGGATCCAAAGCAGGCTCTGTGCTGACGACAGAGAGCCTGATGTGGGGCTCAAACTCACGAGCTGGGAGATCATGGGCCTGAGTCGACGTCAGATGTCCATCTGACTAAGCCACCCAGGAGCCCCGAGATTTCAATTTCAATACACATTTGTAAAAAAGGGCCCATCTTGGCATGATACGAGATTCTGTTTCATCGAAAGAATAATTGTGTAGACCCGTTGATCACAATCTAGTTTGTCTTAAATCTGTGGAAAGTAAGATCACACCCATTTTACAGAAGGAGAATCTGAAAACCAAGTCCTTAGTGGATAGGGTGAGTAGCTTCCATCTTCATAAATCAGAAGATTCGCAGGAAAGGAAGAGTGAGAGACAGGAGCTCAGTGGTCCTCAGTCCCAAAGGCTACATGAAGAATTCCACATGGAAGACCTCAGGGATTCTGGCCTCTGGGTCTTTTCCTTCTTCCCCACTTGTGGGTAGGGCTCGAGGACACTAGCAATTTGAGTGGCTGAGTGCTCCAGAGAGGAGGCGGGGCAGGTTAGAGAGAGCAATGTTCAGGAGTGGTCCCTCAACTCAGGTAAAGGGGAGACATGCTTTTATTTTAGGGTCCGTTGAATGTCACTTTGGAACTTCTCCATCCTTATGACATCTCTACTTCTTCCTTCATGTGTTTCCCTAGGGTAATTCCCTTTCAGCTCGCACCTGGTTCACTGCTTCAGCTCATGTCTACGTTGGTCTAACTTTGAAAGTCTTCCGCCCCCCACCATGCCCTTACACTGCACATTCTGACATTTAACGCTTGCCACTATTGGACACTGCCACACATATTGGCTTCTGTCTATCCACATTTGCAACATGTACCTTCCATTTGAGCTGGCTGCCCATTTTCAATTCTATTCAGCAGCATTTATTGCTCACCTCAGGGTACAAGGCATGGTGTTTGGCTGGTGGTGGATGCACAGGTGACTGAAACTCTCATCTCTCATGATCACTCTTTATGGTCATGCATCCTGCCCTTAAGTATATACAGTGTGGAGGGAAACAAATAATGATGTATGCTGTGAAGCAGAAAGAAATGAGTTGCAGTGATATAAGGACCAAGGAGTGGGGAAAGAGTTTGCAAAAGCCATAATTAATTTGACCGGACATTGTTTTGACCAGAGATGGTTGGGTTGTACTCAGTTCTCCTAAAGTGCCAGTAATATAGCCCATCAATTCCTTTTTGCCAATAGGATACTGGGTATGGTCTCTTCTTCTTGCTGAGGCTGCTTGGAATAGGTATTAGTCTGGCTCTGCAGAGAAATGGAACCAGCAGGAAAGAGATATATACAACAAGGAGCTGGCTTGTGTGGTTATGAAGATTGAGAAATCCCAAGGTCTGCAGCAGCAAGCCGGAGAGGTGATGGTACAAGTCCAAGTCCAAGTCCAAGTCCAAATCCTAAGGCAGGAGAACTGAGGTCCCAGCTCTAAGATGGTCAGAGAGAATGAAATCTCTTTTACTCTGCCTTCTTCTTCTACCCAGGCTCTTGATGCATTTGGTGATGGGCACCCATACTGGTGTGGGGATTAACCTACCAATCCAAATGTTAATCTCATCCAGAAACACACTCATAGACACCCCTAGAATAATGTTTAACTAAATTTCTGGGCACTGCAGAGCCCAGTCAAGTGGAAAACTTGGCTAGAAAGAAAAGCTTAAGAGGCTTCTGAAGCAAAGCCTGAAGAAATATGCCCCAGCCAGCTCGTCCCTATAGGAAGACCATTTTCCAACACTCCATTTGGAGGGTGCATCTGCACAGTGGAGAGCTATACCTCCGATGGCTTCCCATGCAACACTGTCACGTTTGGTTGGTTGGGTTGGTCCAGCCAGCTGTCCCCTGCACAAAGGTTCTTGGGCAAAGGGGCAATTGGAGGCTGAAATGCAGCCCACACTCTACTTGTCAAGCTACACGCTTGGAAGGGGCTGCATCTGCCTCTGGAAAAGGATGCTTTTGCCTAATTTGCCCAAGATGCTGTGTGGACCGTAGAGGCCATACACTGGGGTCCCTCCCAGATACTGAGTGTGATCATAGCATCCCAGGTGGTGTGCCACAGATGGATTACAGGTGTGCGAAATATCACTCCTTTCTACATATGGGGTTGCTAGGAAGGGTCATCACCTCCAGTCACAAAAAGTCATGTATTGGGGTGAGATGGTTTGCTATCTCCAGGTAGGATCTGCACAGAGGAAGCCTGGGGCCGGGACATCTGCTAGAAGAGATGATGTTGGAAGCTCGGTTTCCAGAGGGTGAATGCTGTCCAGAAGCCTAGATCACATTTTCATAGGTTGAAATCCCAGGAGGTTTGCCATCCTGAGTGCTGGTCTTCACCATCTGCAGACGAGGAGATGGCATGTTAACCATGAGTTGCTGCTGGGAAACCCCAGCCCCGGGCGGTACGCAGGAGGGTTATGCAGATGGCACAGGGAGGTGCCTCTGTCTCCCTGGCACTGGCAAAATCTGGGCCAGCAGAGCCCTGCCCTTTGTTGAGTCCCTTGCCTCTGCTCCAGTCATCCCCTTGCGCAATCAACTGTGTAGTCTGGACCAAAGTAGCAGGAGGGAACTGGGGTATTTGCATTGATTTTGATTATAGGTGTGAGCCATGCTTAAGCTACCTGTCTTCCTTGTTCCTAGCAGTGCCTCAGCTCCTTCTGAACCCCAATAATTGCACCTCACTTGGTGGTGGGTCCCCTCCACCAGTGTCCTATGCTCTAGTTACATGGAGCTCTGCAGACAACCTTCCCACCAGCTGAGGGCATCTTAGCCTCGGGGGTGGGGCTTGGGCTTGGGGCTGGCAGCCTCACCACTGGATATTCCCTAGGACTTCCCACTTCCCCACTGGCATCCCCCAGATTCTCCATGAGAACATGGCACGGGTCCTTAGTCCTGACATGCTCATTTCACACCAGGTCCCCCACAGGCCACTCCTCTCCTCGTGGGGCCTCTCGTCCCACTCAGAGCCAGGCCCTCATGTGGAAGCTGATGGCCTCCAACCCTGGAGGCCACCATGGGGTGACAGCTGGCTATGTTCCTGTCCTTGTAGACGGGCTCCTGGCATCATTTCCCCGACATGACGATTCTTGGTTGGAGACTCCAGATCCTTGGCCTGTTGTCCCCTGACTCCTTTTCCTGGGTGTGGGGGTGGGGACCCATGAGTAGCATCAGCTCACCTTGGACTGGGGGATTTCATCATAGATTCTGCCCTCTGCTGGTGGGACATCTCGTGTAACCATGATGTAGGCGTATATTGTTTTCTTTGAGTCAGCGTCTGTATCACAAATACACAGAGAAGCACAGGGTGTGAGAGATGGCTGGATTCTAGAGATGAGCTATTGCAATGCTCTCTTTTTCAGATAAAGAAATGAAGCCCTAAAAGGTCAAATGGCTTAGCAGTTGGAGAAAGACAAATATCATATGACTTCACTCATATGAGGACTTTAAGATACAAAAACAGATGAACACAAGGGTAGGGAAGCAAAAGTAACATAAGAACAGGGAGGGGGACAAAAGCATAAGAAACTCTTAAATATGGAGAATAAACAGAGGGTTCCTGGAGGGCTTGTTGGAGGTGGGATGGGCTAAATGGGTAAGGGGTTTAAGGAATCTACTCCTGAAATCATTGTTGCACTATATGTTAATTTTTTAAATTTTTTAAAAAATAAGAAAAAACAAAAAAAGGTCAAATGGCTCCTGATGTCTTGAAATGGATGCTCAGGTCCCTGGACTGTCTCTCTGTCCTCTAGGGATTTCATGTGTTGTGGGAGGCACTGGCCCAGGCCTCACTCACCCAGGGCTCCATGGGACCCTGCCTGCTCTAGGGTCCACGTCAGGCTGACGACATTCTCCCAGACCCTAGTGGGTAATCAGAGAAGCTCCTCCTCCCAGGGCCTCACTCGGCATCTCTGGCACTTAGTACTGACCACCTTGCTGGCGGATTGTCTCTTCATGTGAAGTCTTGGTTTTTCAACTAGATTGATTCTCTCTAGTTAGACACTGTGTTGGACTCCTTTGGTGCATGTCTTCCTGTCACCACCTCAATGTTAAACACATAGAAGATACTCTATAAACCTGCATTGTTGCAGGGCGCCTGGGTGGCTCAGTGGGTTAAGCGTCCAACTTTGGCTCAGATCATGATCTCGTGGTTCGTGAGTTCGAGCCCCACATGGGGCTCTACGTTCTCAGCTCAGAGTCTGCCTCAGATCCTCTGTCTCCCTCTCTTTCTCTCTCTCTCCCTCAAAAATAAATAAACATTAAAAAAAAAAAACATGCATTGTTGCTCGATAGATCCACACAGTCAAATACTTACTAAGCTCCCTCTGTGCACTAGGCTCTGTGTGAGGCCATGGAGAGGCAAAGACTGGAGAGACCAGTCCCTACTCTTGAGAATTCCTGGGCTGGTAAAGGCATTCACCCCAGTGTGCTCCTCTCCTTGCTCCTCACGTGGAAACCTTACTTCACGGTGAAGCTAACAAGAGATGGCCAGAATCTAGGGCCGGCTGAGAGTATCACTGGGAGCGAAGTCTGGTCTCAGACCCTGATAAGTGAGCCAGACCAAGTATTCTCTCTCACCTCCTTGGGAGCAGAAAAAAAGTGGCACTTCTCTCTTCCCAAGACACTGTGAGAGACTGCAGACAGATGTCGCTTTGAGGAACCCTGAAGATAGCCTATGATCTGAGCCTGGTTATAGAACATCTCCTCATCGTGCAGCCACGTGACATAAACCTCTCTGTGCCAAGCCCAGACCGCCAGCTGTGAGTACAGTCCTAACATTTACTGAGGGCTCACTACGTACCAGGCTCCGGGCCAGGTACTTTATGCAGGTGATTCCATTTCGTCCACTTGGTAAGTGCCCGCAGCACACCGTGTTACTATGCATATTTTACAACAAAGAAAACAGGCTCACGGTGAGAAATAACCAGTAGATGATAAATGGCCAAGCTGGCACCTTCTGCCCAGACTGCCTGCAAAGCATTAGCTGAGTCTTAACCAATCTGCCATGAACATCTCTCCCAGTTGTCATCCGGGGGAACCGCATGGTTGAGAACTTACCAGAGTCCTTACTGGAGGTCGTCAGGTAGGAACCTAAGGAATCAGACCCAAAGGAGAGTCAAGGAATATGGAGACAGAGGTGGGACCTCCCTACATCAGGCCTGTTATTAGGATTGGTGGGCAAGGACGGTTTTGGAAGATGATGGGCTGGGAGGAATAGGAGGATATAATGATCCTCTGGGGCCCTAACATCAGGTTTTCTGAATTGCGAATGGCACAATGTCAGAGGGATCCAGAAGGCTCCAGCGGGATCTAGTGGTGACTGTGGAATGCAGAATTGGTACATGTCCCTCAATGACTCTCCAAAAGGTCATAGGCAAAATACAGTGAGTGGAATTGGAAGTGGCCTTGGAAACCCTCTAGTTCAAATCTCATTTCACATGTGAGAGCACTGAGCCAGAGAGGTAAAAACACATGTCTGTGAAGCATAGCTTCTTAACGCCAGTACTAAACTCAAACCCAAATTCTGGGCCCACCAGAAACTGACAACCTCAGGAGCAGATTCTGAAGCCCACTCAGGGCACTGTCATCCAGTATGAGGGGCCATCGCTCTGAGGTGGATGGGGGGAGATCAGAGGAAGGCAGATCCCCCGGGGGCAAAGGACCTCTCCACCCCACCTTGGATAAATGACTTCAGTCTCAGGAAGAAGGAGGGTGCGTTTCCGCATTTTACCTTCTGGAAAAATCCTACCTTGTCCTCTTTTGCGCAAAAGGCACAGAAGTACCAAAGGCACAATGACAATAAACAGAAAGAGCACAGCCAGCCCGCTCAGCAGCCCAGTGTGGCGGGAACGGAGACCCGCTGCAGAGTCTGGAAGCAGAAGGCACAGTGAGGTGTGGCTCTCAGGAAATAAGCCCATGGGCTTGTCCACACTCAAGGGCACTATCAAAAATGGGGTCCCCTCCCAGGGGGTGTGCCAAAGCTCCAAGGGAAACTGTACTTTTTGTTATTAAAGGTCAGGATTAGACACAGAATCAGAGGATCAAGCAGAGGCTGCCCAGAATGCCCCAAATGCCTGGCCTGAATCTGACAGCTTTGGACTCTTTGCCAGGCCCTCCTGGGAGAAGACTCCCCTGGGGACTGGGCCTGGCATGAGGGAGGGACACACCGCTGGGGAACGAGGCCCGGTTCAGGCCTCGCTGCTGGGAGGCTAAGCAGAGATGGACGTTGCTGGTTACCTGCACAGAGCTGCAGGGCCGAGACGGAGTCGGAGCTGTTGCTCACAGGGTTCCAGGCTGTACATGTGTACGTCAGCTCCTGGTTGTCAGGGGTCTGGAAGATTCGGATGACATTACCCTCTTCCCCCAGGGGGCTCCATCTATAGGTGACATTCTTTTCTTCCTTTTCCACAGAGCATGTCAGTGTGACATTACAGGTGCTGTTCACAGATGTCATTAAACTCTGGGTAATTTTTGGCTTTCCAAGCCGACCTAGGAAGGGGAAATGTATGTGTCCATGGAACTGGCCGATACCAGCCTGTGAGAGCTAACAGTGAAATCTTCAGAATTAAAATTTTTTTTTTCATGTTTATTTATTTTTGAGAGAGAGAGAGACAGAGTGGGAGCAGGGGAAAGGCAGAGAAGGAGGGAGACAGAATCCAAAGCAGGCTCCAGGCTCTGAGCTGTCAGCACAGAGCCCAATTCTGGGCTCAAACTCACAGATGGTGAGATCATGACCTGAGCTGAAGTCAGACGCTTCACCGACTAAGCCACATAGGCGCCCCCAGAAATTTTTTCAAGAGGGCGGTTCAACACAGCCATCTGTGTCGAAAAATTAAATGAAAAAATTTACAATGAAATACATTACATTTAAAAAAGCTAATACATACTCAAAACTCACAGCTTTCTGTTTTTTTGGATGATTTACGATTATCTATGCTCTAAAAGTTATTTACATCTATCGTATTTGTCTTTTGTAATGCTTTATAAAGTCTTCCCAGTTCTGACTATCTTTAAATGAGCCGTGCATGATGGGAATATTTACACTGCAGAAATTGGCCAAGGTTACAAATTTGGGCTGGGCCGACTGCATTGCTGATGGTCACTCTGGACTGAAGAAAACAGTGGGAAAGGGTTGATGGGGGATGGGGTGAGGGGAAAGTGGGTGATGGGCATTGAGGAGGGCAGTTGTTGGGATGAGCACTGGGTATTGTATGGATACCAATTTGACAATAAATTATATTTAAAGAAACAGTGGAAGAAAGATTACTAAAGCAGATTAAACTAAAAAATGTCTCCAGTCTACAGCCATTACATTGTGAATAGCACCAAAAAACTAGGAAATATTCTTCCAGTATCTGAAAATCATTATCCAATTCAGAAGTTGTTCACACTGATGTGCAAGTGAAGCTCTGAAGTATGTTTGTTGAATCACTTTTTCCTTATCAGTTAATGTAACAAAAATATCAACCGATATTCATGTTGGCTTCTTCATCAATTGCAACGTAGGTTGGGTGGTATAAATGTGCAGCAAAAATCAGTGAAAGCATTCGGCAAATACAATTGGCTCTATGGGATTTGCAATAAAGACTATTGTATATTTTATTATCATTTATGAAACTGTGTGTTGCACATCCTTTATGTCAATAACATCTCTGCATGAGCACACACACATGCCATCAAGAACACATTGAACATTTATCAGCACCCCGCGCATGAAACAGTCTTTAAAAACATTTTGGCAGGGGGGCACCTGGGTGGCTCAGTCTGTTAAGCAGTTGGCTCTTGATTTCGGCTCAGGTTATTTATGATCTCACAGTTTGTAGGATTGAGCCCCAAGGTGAGCTCTGTGCTGACAGTGAGGAGCCTGCTTGGGATTCTCTCTCTCTCTCTCTCTCTCTCTCTCTCTGTCCTTTCCCCAATCACATTTGCTCTCTTTCAAAAGAAATAAGTTGGGTGGGGGGGATGGGCATGGAGGAGGGCACTTTGGGGATGAGCACTGAGTGTTATGTAGAAACTAATTTGACAATAAACTATTTGTAAAAAAAAAACAAAAAACAAAAAACAAAAAACAAAAGAAATAAGTAAACATTTAAAGAGATTTTCTTTTTGCTGTTTTCTGGTGTATTTTCATTAAGTTGTTTTGTTTTGTTTTGTTTTGAAGTGCCTATGTTACAATCTCTTTTAAAAAACTTTTTAAAAAGTTACAATCTCTTTAAAAAGTTCATTAAAAAAATGTTTTTACTAAAGCAATCAAAAGGTAACCTGTACAAGCTGCAGGCTAGTAAAGGGTTAACAGAAGAACAATTATATTTAGTTTGGAGTAAGAGCTATCTGGGGCCCCCAGAAGGAAGGGGAAGATCTTCTCTTTTAGCAGCAGATAAGATGCCTACATTCAGAGTTGGTAAATTTAGTTCATTCTTGGCCAAGCTGTGGTGCTAGGGTTTTTCCTTCCACCATAGCCATGTGGGAAGGGCTCAGAAGGAACGGCATGTAGTTTTCTAACTAATGTGGTGTTTCTAAAGTTGTCTGGCATGTGAGGGAATAGAATATGGGAAGTAAGAAGCTGTAAGGGTTTCTTATTCCAACTTCACCAGGAACCCTGGTCCTAAGCAACTCTTAAGGCATCTATTCCAGACTAGAATTTGTGGTGACTTGTGAAAAAACTCCCAACAAGTTTGAAGTAATCTTTTTTTAAAAAATTTTTTCATGTTTTATTTATTTCTGAGAGAGAGAGAGAACAGGGGAGGGTCAGAAAGAGAGGGAGACACAGAATCTGAAACAGGCTTCAGGCTCTGAGTTGGCTGTCAGTACAGAGCCCAGTGCAGGGCTCGAACCCACGAATGGTGAGATCGTGACCTGAGCCGAAGTCAGATGCTCAACCGACTAAGCCACCCAGGCGCCACAAGTTTGAAGTAACCTTGATGAGCTATAAAGGTTATAGACACAGGAGCGCCTGGGTGGCTTAGTCAGTTAAGCGTCCGCCTTTCACTTAGGTCATGATCTCGTGGTTCGTGGGTTCGAACCCCATGTTGGGCTCTGTGCTGACTGCCAGCTCAGAGCCTGGAGCCTGTTTTGGAGTCTGTGTCTCCCTCTCTCTCTGACCCTCCCCTGCTCACGCTGTCTCTCTCTCTCTTTCCTAGAAATAAAATAAAAATATTTTTTAAAAAAGGTGATAGACACAGATATATACAACAAAACAAACAAAAACAAGCAAAAAACAAGCCAGTGTGTGTGTGTGTGTGTGTGTGTGTGTGTTTCTTTAGAAACTTGATTTACAAGAATGTTTAAGTCTCTTCTTGGTATTTACTTATTTTTAGAAGACTATTTTTTTGGTGGGTGTGGGGTAGGGAGTAGTGGTAAAGAATAAGAGCCTATGTTGTTTTTCTCAGTAGGAACAGAGATGTTACCAGAACCAAGCTGCTGGGCAGAGAAGGTCAGAGTGTGGTCGAGAGTGAGGAAGCCACTAGAGACCTGTGTCTGACCAGGGTCAACTTCTTTCTAGAGCGAGGACATATACAGCTTCACTGAGCCTTAGCTGTCTTTTACAACACAAGAATTCTTTTCTCCTGCTACTGTTGTTGTGAGGACTAAATGAGCCATTGTATATAAAGAACACTCTAACACCTACCTGTCCATCTGTCTATCTATCTATTTACTTATTATCTATCTATCTAGCCATCATATCTATCTTCTTGCCTATCTATCTATCTATCATCTATCTACCATCTATCTATCTATCTACCTACCTACCTACCTATCCATCATATCTATCTGTCTATCTATCTATCTACATTAATTATCTGTGGGGAAGACAAAATAAACTAACAATGATGACTGCCTTGGAGAAAGGAGAACAGCAATGCATTGTATTGCATTTTTCTCTGCACATACTGCCTAAATATGTGTCACCCCTCTCTATTTTTAAAAATTAGGTGGTAGAATGCCAGACACAGAGAGTTCAATAAATATCAGTTCCCTTCTCTTTATCTGCTCAACTAACTCCCTGAAAGGTACAGATTTTATTAGGTGGGCAATCTGGCTTTCTCTGAGACTTTCTTGTGGTCTGTCCTAACTGCAGATTGCATACTACCTCCCAAAGATTGAGTGGGTAAAACTAAATATATAAAAAGATGAAAACAAACACTTTGAAGTTGAACACCCTCTTTTTTTTTTTCTCAACCAAAGTTCTTGAATGAACCAGATATTTTCTAAAGTGTCCACAGCTGGGTATGGTTCTTTGCCTGTGTCACTCATGCCTGGTCCAGAGCCTCCTTCATCTAGGAAGCCCTTCATAATTAGAATTTAAAATAAGGACTAAGGGTTAAAAAGTTAATAATGACTACTAGTTATTAGGCATCAACTGTAAGGCATGTGCTGTACCAGGAGCTTAACTAACACTCTCTCATTTAATCACACCTATTATAATCTACATTCTATAGATGAGGAAATTTAAGCCCAGCGAGGGTAAACAACTTGCCTAAAGTCACACAAGTGGCAAGAGATTTAATTCCAGCATTAATGCCCTTTCCACTATGCCTTCCATCCAGATGCAACCCGATTCAATCATGCTATATTAATTGAGCACTTACAATTGTCAGGCACTGTGTCCCTGGGACTTATTATGATTCATTCATTCTTTCACTGAACAAATGCTTCTGGAGCACCCACCGCGTGCCTCACAGGGTAGGTGCTAGGGATACAAGGATAACTTCATATACAAAATCCCTGCCTTTATGGGACTTGAATTTAGTGGTTTAACTATGTACCTGAATTGTATCTATCACAAGGTGGCTTAGCCACATGTCTGTATTTTTCTGCTATGAGCAGGTGGATGGTAAAATCCTTAGGACGTGGTTCAAGTATTATCCATGCTAGAAATTACTGCGGCCCAAAAGAAACAAAACGTGAATCACCTCTGTGATTAAAATGCTTCTAATACTCACATTAATAGTAAAAATAAATTATATTAATTTTAGTAATGTATTTTCCTTAACCTACCATAGGCAAAATGTTATCTTAACCTCTAACCAACATAAAATTATTAATGAGGTATCTTAGGGCTTTTTGTGGTGCTGAGACTTTGAAATCTGGTGTGCATTTTACACTTACAGTACGTCTCACTTTGGGCTCACCACATTTCAAATACTCAAGGGCCACGTGTACCACACCAAGAGTGAACCTTGATGTAAACTGTGGACTTTGGGTGGTGATGATGACTCTCTATACATTTTCCCTGTAAAAAATGCACCACTGGTGGGAAATGTTGATCATGGGGGAGGTCATCCATGGTGGGGGGCAGAGGTCATGCGTGTGTGCTGGGGGCGGGGTGTGGGGAGGTCATGCATGTGTGTGTGGCGGAGGAGGTCGTGCGTGTGTACTGGGAGGGCAAGGTTCATACGGGAACTCCCTATACTTCCTACTCAGTTCTCTGAACCTTAAGCTGCTCTAAAAATAGAGCTATTTAAAAGGGGGAAAAAAGTTTTGGAGACGGATAATGATGGTGTGTGAATGTACGTAATGTCACTGAACTGTACACTTAGACATGGTTAAGGTGTTAAATGTTATGTATATTTTATCACAATAAAATTTTTTAATGTTTATTTTAAAAAATTCTTTTAATGTTTTTTTTTTTAAATTTATTTCTAAGAGAGAGGGAGACAGTGTGAGCAGGGGAGTGGCAGAGAAAGAGAGGAAGACACAGAATCCAAAGCACGCTCCAGGGTCCGATCCATCAGCACAGAGCCTGATGCAGGGCTTGAACCCACGGACCATGAGATCATGACCTGAGTCGAAGTCGGATGTTCAACTGACTGAGCCACCCAGGCGCCCCATATCACAATAAACATTTTTTTTAGAAAAAAATAAAAATGGATTTACCCTATGTTTTCATTCTTGGGCATTTATCCCAGAGAAACAAATACTTGTTTCATGCAGAAACTTGTACATGAATGTGCCTGATTGCTTTACTTGTAATAGTTCCAAAGTGGAAACAACTAAAATATCCCTTGATTGAAAGAATGGTGAAACAAACTAGTACATCTATACAAGGAAATACTATCCAGCAATAAAAGGATGTAAAGTATTGAGACTTGCAATAATTAGGATGACTCACAAATTATGCTGAGCAAAAAAACAATCTCAAAAGCACGCATGGTGCATGAGTCCATCTCTGTAACATTCATGAAACAACACAATGATAGATATGAGTAAGGGATTGGCATCTTCCAGGAGTTGGGGAGGGAGTGGGTGACTAAGAAGGGCCGAGGGAGTATTGTTGCAATGGTACAGTTAACTCTCTTGACTGTGATAGTGGTTACACTGTGCAAGCTACATGTATACTCACACATAAATGAGCACCATATGACTAGACTCCAGAGATAAACATTGTCAGTTTCCTGGTTTTGATATTGTACTATACTTGCATAAGACGTTACCACTGGGAGAGGCTGGGCGAAGTGCACACAGAACCTTCCTGTACAGTTCTTCACACCTCTCTATGTATCTACACTGATTTTAAAATAAAAAGTGATTTTTTTAAAGTACTTTCCAGCGTTTAACTTTGGCTCAGTTCACGATCACATGGCTCTTGAGTTTGAGCCCCACATCAGGTTCGCTGCTGTCAGCACCGAACCCACTTAGGATCCTCTCTGTCTCCATCTCTCTCTGCCCCCCCCACCTCAAAAGTAAACATTAAAAAGAAAAGTATAGGGTGGCTGGGTGGCTCAGTCGGTTAGCTGTCTGACTTCGGCTCAAGTCATGATCTCACGGTTCATGGATTTGAACCTCACGTCAGACTCTGTGCTGACAGCCAACTCAGAGCCTGAAGCCTGCTTCAGATTCTGTATCTCCCTCTCTCTCTGACCCTCCCTTGCTCATACACACATACACACTCTCTCTCAGAAATAAATAAAAAACATTAAAAAAGAAAAGTATTTTCCATACACTATTTCCCTTGATCCTCTCAGCGACTACGGGAAGTGAATAGTACAATTATTCACATTTTATAGGAAAGAAAAACCAGGCCTATGGGACAAACTGCTGATTGAAGATTACATAGCTAGAAACAAGAAAAGTCACCTCCTCTTTATCAGCATTGATGTATTTGTATAAGTATTTATAAGTGCAAAAAGATTTAGGGAAGCCAATTGGCAGAAATAAAGGCATTCTATAGACAGCAAATTTGCAAAACAAAACAAGCCCGCTAGCCTCCCTCAACTTACGATAGACTTGAAGGTTGTAGCGCCTGGTGGTGGTGACCGTCGTTTCTAAGGTCTTCATATTTATGTCAGCTTTGTAGATGCCTGAATCTTCCATCCTCAGTTCACTGATCTCCAGATTGTAGTTCTGACGTGAGACGTTTATTCGGTCGTTATAATTTTGGTGGGTCACAGTAACTTTGGGTGCTGTTCCTGGGTCTCCTGGCGTTACAAAAGCAACAGATGTTTCAGAATTCCAGGCAATGTTGATAACTTGCTCTGGTTCTTTGATATTTAGGCGAAAAGTGACGGACTCCCCCAGAATTCCAGTCATAAGCAGAATGTCTGTGTCACTTCCAGCTGCTTCCAGACCTGAGGACATAAAAAGAAAACCATAGCCAACCAACTGTTGTACCTTTGAGAGCTCCCTATCTCACCAGACTTGAGCCTCCCTGGGGATCAGCCCCAGATACAGCTCCTGGAAGTTTTTCTTTTTCTTTCTTTCTCTCTTTCTTTCTTTCTTTCTCTTTCTTTCTTTCTTTCTTTCTTTCTTTCTTTCTTTCTTTCTTTCTTTCCTTCTTTCTCTTCTTCTTCTTCTTCTTCTTTCTTTTAGGTCTTCTACTCTGTATATAATGTTATGTTAGCTAAATTTGCTAAAGGAATCTCATTCAAAAACTAAGCTTCCAGTGAGTTTCAAGGGATCTATTTCATTAAAAACACTGTCTAGACTTACAGACCCAAATCTCTAAGAGATTTGAAGGACGAAGACCATAAATTCCAGAAGGTTTGAGAATTAAATATCTTTCTTTCCCAAGACCATACTGCCAAGTGGTGGAAGATCTGAGACAAGAGCCTGGCTGCTGTGGCCTTTCCAAAAAGAAAGTTACATTTATGCCTTTATTCCAGGAAGATAACAGCAGAGAGTGCTCTAGAGGCTCTAGAGTAAATATTCCCCAGGTTGGTGATTTGGGGAGTTCTTTTTTGTTGACTACTATTTCTCCAGTCTCTGAAAGAGTACATGACTTGTACTGGCTGCTTAGTAAATATGTGTGGAATTAATTAATAAATGGAATTCACCTCTGTGTTGCCTGGAATCTCTTGGAACAACTTCTGAAGTAAGCGAAATTCATTTATTCATTCATACATTTATGAATGAATGCATGTATTTATTCAAAGTCAGCTTTATTCTAGATACTACAGCAGGTATTTATTAATTAAATTTACAATACAAATGTTTTCTGAGCATAATGTAAGGAGCTGGGGGATACAGTGGTGAGTAAAAATTGATAAAGTTTCTGCTCTTTTTTACAGTTAAAGGAAGAGATCAGTATTGATCAGAGACCCACAGATGCTCAGATACAAAATATTTAGTTGGCTCTTGAACTATACCAATTTGAGTTGTGAGGGTCCCCTAATACATTGATTCTTTCCATAAATACAGTCTAGTCCTATCAGTGTATTTTCTCTTCTTTCAGATTTTCCTTTTTTCTTTCTATTTTAGAGAAAGAGAGCATGTGTTGGGGAGAAAGACAGAAGGAGAGAGAGAGAATCGGCTCGATTCCACGACCCTGGGATCAAGACTTGAGCTGGAAGTAAGTGTTGGATGCTCAACCAGGGAAGCCACCCAGGTGCCCCAGCCTTGAAATTCTTAATAGGACTTGAACAAGGGCACCGACATTTCCATGTTGCGCTGGGTTCTGCATGTGGGGCCAGGTATCCCATGGTTTCTGAGGCTTTTTAAAAGCGAAGCCCTAGCACCTAAGTGCCGGTCTGCAGATTCCAGTTACATGTGAGAATAGGATGTGGTTTCTCTCTTCAAACCCAAGCAAGTATGTAGGCAGTTGGTGAAGATGAGCCAGTACTAGAGTTCATGGTAACTGTGCTACCACAGAGTGGAGGGTGTGTGATGCTGTTTTTCAAGCACAGTTCCCCCCCCAGAGCAAGTCGCTCCGGAAGTGACGCTGGTGTATCACGTGGTGATGAGGCAGTCTCACTGGTGGGTGGGTGGAGCTGGGGGAAGTCCTGGGGCTGCTCTGGCTGGTCCTGTTGGTGAGAATCGTGGGCTTGCTAAGAAAAGGCCAAGGGCCTACACATCCACAAGATGTGGTCTCAGTCACCTTCAGACCCTCCGGCTGTGGTCTGAGAGAGGTGGCTGTAGCACACAGCACAGAGTGGAAAGACAAGGAGGCTGAAGATGTAGGTGCTAGCATTTCTGCTTATCAGCTGGGCAAACTTCATAAAGTCACAAAACCTTTCTGCCTCTCAGTTGCTTCATCCACAGAATGGAAATAATAACCACAAAATTTGTTCTACCTAATTATTGATCAGCAAACCATATAACATGCATGGAATGTTTTGTAACTGCCATGGCACAATAAACGTGATTGCTTCTGAGGCTGATAGTGATAATCATGAGGATGATTCTTTTCCTCATCACTTTCTTTATCACCTTCGTAATGGGTGCATACTATTTGGGGCTTCCTAGGCCACCCCTATGTTGTTCCTGATGGTACCAGGGCCATATAGAAGAAGGTATCAAGAGCCATTATTAAGGGCTAATTCAAGTAAAGCCCAGAGAGATTAGTTTTAGGTATGACTCCACTTAATGGACTTTATGCTTCTTTTAAGACTTCAGGTTTTTAAAAAGAATCTCCATATCAAGCTGCCCCAATACTTATTTTGCTGAGTGTTGTAGAGACTCAAACATTATATTAGCATTGGAGGGGACCTAAGGAAAATCCCAATTTCAGAGAGAACTTGTGGTACAAACATTTCTTGAGGACTTACCATGTAATGCACTAGGCAAGTCTCTGACCAAGACGGGTTCTCCTCCCCCTGCCCTTTTTTTGTAGGAGTTTCATAACTGCTTAGGAAATAAGACACAAAGATACACATAACTCTCCTTTGAAAAGTGAGGTAGTAAATGGCAAATTCAAGTGAATGGTAGAGACAGTAATTACAGTAGGAATCCAAAGAAGGGAGGGATCTCTTCCTTGAGCTACAGAGGTTAGGGAAGCCCTTTTAGAGAAAGCAGAATTTGAGGAGGACTTTGAAAGAGGGAACAGAATTTTACTGAATAGAAAGGGAAAGGATGAGTGTCTTAAGTCTAAAACATGGGTGTGGGTTGCATGAATATGGATTTGCATAACAGAGTAGAAAGAGATAAGGTGGAGATATATATCTGGTTTAGATATGAAGCAGCCTTGAGTTTGAGATCTATACCACAGAGGGGAACTATCAAAGTTTTTGGGGATGAAGATTAAAATGATATTTTTGGGTCCTAGTACTACAGTAATGATGTGTAGGAAGAATAGAAGTAAATAGAAGCTGGGCTTGAGAGACCATTTTGGAGGCCATTGTAGTCATCTGCATATGAACCAGAGAATGAAAATGCAAATGGAAAGGAAGTGCTGAATTTGAGAGATAGTGCAAAGAAAGGCAAGGAATAAGGAGGAATCTGAGAGAATTCAATTGCTCAACAATATATTTTGGGCATCTACTTTGTGTCAGTAAAAACTGATAGTTACTGAAACACTGGCTAAGTTTATGCTGGAAAAAAGTCCAAAGGAGAAAACAGATTTAGTGTTAGAAATATTGAAATTGAGATTATGGTGGACCATCTCAGTAAATAGTTGGAAGGATGGATGATAAGGAAAGAGAATGGGCTCAAAGTATTGCTTGGGGGCTATCGCAGAATCTGCCAATTATCTCCTTTGTTTTCTCCTTCATTCTTAGTAAGAGAATGCCTAATTTTTAGCAGGGGATATGGTCACTTAGGATAAAGACTACATTGCCCAGCTCTCTGCTAGCCAATTGTGGTCATATGACTAAGTTCAGGTCAAGGGGATGAAAGTGGAAGTGTTGCATATGACTTCTGTGTCTTAAGAAGAGGGCACTTTGCTTTCTTCATCTCTTTGTTTCTTGCAGGCTGGGATGCTATGATGGCTGGATCTTAGACACACATTTTATATCAAGGAGAAGAAGCCAAGTACTGAGGATGGTGGAGTAGGAAGACTGAAAAAGTGTTTATCCCTCACAACTTGTCAACTATTCAATCAATAGAACTGTCACCTCCAGACATTTTCATATGAGCAAGCAATAAACTTCTTTTTTTAGACCACTCTTATTTTTGAGAACTGTCACTTGCCATTAAACCGAAATCTATGTGGTTTAGGAATCATCTGCAAAGAAGAGGTGATGGAAGGAGAGGTGAGCCATTCAGGAAGGGTAAGGCTGAAGGCCAAGGCTGCTTTGTGAACAGTGCTCACAGTCATAGAGGAGGCACTATAAAAAAAACCTAAATAGATTGAGTGGCATAAGAGGCACAAATACTGGACAATATCATGGAACCCAAGAGAAGAAAGAGTCTCAAGAATAGATGTTTAGTGATTCAGAGTGTTCAAGTGGAATAAAGACTGAAAATGGACTCTGGGTTTGTCCATTAGGAGGTTATTGATGACCTTTGAGAATGTAGTGCAAGCAAGATGATTCAAATGGAGGCCAGAGTCTAGAGGACTGAGAATAGAAAAAGCAGTAAGAAATAGAAAATCTTGATAGTGAAAGAAAGAGGATAAAATAGAATGGTAGCTAAAGAAACAGGTAAAACTAATTTATTTGATATTGTCTTAAAATAGGAGAGGTGTCTACATATATATGGTCAATTAATTTAGGACAAATAAACCAAGGACATATAATAGAGACAGAACAGTCTCTTCAATAAATGATGATGGGAAAACTGGAAAGCCACACGCAAAAGAATGAAACTAGACCACTATTTTATACCATAAAGATAAACTCAAAATGGATTGAAGTCTTGAATGTAAAACCTGAAACCATAAAACTCCTAGAGAAAACAAATGTGGCAAGTTCCTTGACATCAGCCTGAGTGATGTATTTGTGGATGTGACACCAAAGGCAAAGGAAAATATGGGACTACGTAGAATTAAAAAGCTTCTGCACAGCAAAGGAAACTATCATCAAAACACAAAGGGAACCTACTGAATGCAAGATACTTACAAATCATATATCTCATAAGGAGTTAATATCCAGTATATATAAAGAACTCATACAACTCAACAATGAAAAAAAAAAAAAACCTGACTAAAAATGTTCAGAAGATCTGAATAGCCACTTTTCCAAAGATGACATAGATAGCGATAGGTACATGAAAAGATGTTCAACATCACCAACCATCAGGGAAGAGCAAATCAAAACCATACCTTTTAGAATGGCTGTTATCAAAAAGGCAAGAAATAACACATGCTGAAGAGGAATAGGAGAAAAGGGAACTCTCTTGCACTGTTGGTGGGAATGTAAGCTGGTGCAGCCACTATGGAAAACAGTATGGAGATTCCTCAAGAAATTAAGAATAG